ATATGTCCTGTAATTTAGTTGTATTCATATTAGTAATAGTCGGGCTCGTTATATTCTTGTTCCGTCTAGATATTAGGCGGTCCATAATAAAATGCTTCATTGGTGGGCGGGAGTTCAAGGAAAGATTGAAGCTCTTTAGAGTCTAGAAACAGGGTTATTAGCATTTTGAATCTGGTAAATGTGTCACAGTTACGGATAGGCAATGGCAACCTGTTCCACAATAAACTATATCGCACTGTAAAAAACTTACAACGCACTTGTTTTTGGTGTTTTACGGTGTGTAGTGTATATGCGTTGTTTCTTAGTCTATAGGCTGGGTCGTGAATCATAGTTGGGCAGGAGGTTAGAAACGAGAGTCCATAAATCGCTTTGTAGAGAAATATTAAATTATTCCTTAGCTTACGGTGCCATAAGAGTTCTAAAGAGAGGTGCTTACATCTATCTGTGTAATCGACATTCGAGTTACTTCCTAGCAGTTGGCGTGTGAAGCGTCTTTAAACGCCTTCTACTCTTATCTTGTCTGTGGTATTCATATTAGAGAAAATAAAAGAGCAGTACTCTAGGGAAGGTTGTACGCATATTTTATAGAGAGTAAGCTTAGCCTCTGTTGTGAAGAAATTTCTCATTATGAAATCTATTTGCTGTTTACATTTAGAAATAATAGATGATGCATGTTCTTCAAAGTTCAGACTTCTTGTGTAATTAATTCCTAGATCGTGTACCGATTTGAGTGCTTAACTGTGCTTTTATTTGAGTGAAGTTGCAGTTTATAGGGATGCTTTCCAAAGTGTATGATCACGCACTTGCTGAGGTTAAATGGTAATTGCCATTTTTCACCCCAGATAGTTAAGTTACTGAGGTTATTTTGGGTCAGGGGAAAACTTTCGTTTAGGGCCTCAGGCTTATAGCTGTATGCTATTTTGAGATCATCAGCATATAAGTATGGTTTCCCAAATGTTATGGTGTTACATATATCGTTTATATACATAAGAAACAAGGGTGGACCTAATACGCCTCCCTGGATGACTCCACTAGTTATGGGTTTAGGTGATGAGAGACAGTCATTGTACTTTACAATCTGTTTACGTTTTGTTAAGAACGAAGCAAACCATGAGTACAGTGGGTCGTTTATTCCGAAGGACTTCAGTTTGACGAGAAGCCTTTTATGTGGGACCTTATCAAAGGCTTTTTTAAAGTCTAACAATAGGACTGATACAAGGAGTCCGTTGTCTCTTTTCAGAGTTATATCATTCAGGTAGTCTGCTAGACATGTATCGCATGATCTTGACCTAAGAAATCCATGCTGGGAGGTCGAGATGAGATTATTAGTAAGTAGATGTTGGACTACAACCGCTTTAACTACTTTTTCCATCACTCTAGATACCACTGAGGTTATGTTTATGGGTCGGTGATTGTCAATATTTGCTTCAGGTCCTGTTTTAATTTTGGGGATGATATGTGTAGTTTTCCAGGCAGTAGGGTAACACGCTGTAGAGAGTAATATCGCAAATAGTTTGAGAAGCAAAACACACATATCATCCCCTCCACGTTTTAGCATGCTAGCTGGAATACCATCTGGTCCATCAGTGTATGAGTGTTTCAATGTACTGGTTGCCTTAGAGATATTTTGTACATTAAAGTTTACATTAGTAATTTCATAAGGAGGTACTGGGATTGGTTCTGAATCGTTTAGTGGTTTTTCGTTAGTTAGTAAGCAACAAAAGTGTTCACTAAATAGTTCCGCAACAAGTTTAGGGTCTTCGTATACTTGTTTGTCTTTAATGAATACGCTCCCTCTCGATTTGGAACGTTTAAGTTTATTTAGAAGGAGTATGATGAGTGAAGAGAAGTTATTGTTAAGTTCGACTGCACGTTTTTCCTGTGCGACTGCTTTTTGTGTACTTAATGCCTCTGTTCGGATAATTATTTCAGTCATCGTCACCAAAGAGGAGAAGTCATTAAGGTTATGGAATCGAGTACAATGTCTTTGAAGACGTCTTCGTGTACCGACCGGTATATAAAGATCTTTGGAGACCGTAGGTCTACAGTATTCTAAAGGTGCGATTTTGTTGATGATACTTCTGATGTTGAGATAAAATATATTGGTTAGTGTGTCGGTATTGTTTGCAGTAAAGAAAGTTCCCCAATCAGTGCTTCTTAGGTAATTGTGGAAGTTATTCCAATCAACCTTGCGATAGTTTCTACGAAGTGTTGCGGTTTTACGTCTACCGGTTGTGGTTTTTATATTAAGGCTGCATATGACAATGTTATGATCACTACCTGGAAACGTTTTTCCAATATACACAGTATCGGGGGTGACGCCACTGGTAAAGACTAAGTCCAAGATATTTTGATGTCTGGTAGGGCCATTGACATACTGAGTCCATTGTCCGAGCTCTAGACATTCTATAAATGATTCATAACGCTTCGGCGCCCAGATTGGGAACCAAGAAATTTCAGGCAAGTTGAAGTCACCACAAATAAGCTTGCCTGTGAATGGAAGAGATGATGCTAGTGTGAATACCTCCGATAGTATTGCTATGTCATCTATTGGTGCGTTGGGTTGACGGTAAACACAGCCGAACAGTAAGGTAACGGAATTCGACGGCTTTTATACAATCCACACCGAATCCTTCAGGTTTTTAGCTCAGGCATATCACATAGTAGTGAGTTTAGGCTAGAGTAAGTGTAAATAAGACATCCTCCACCTCGTTCTTTCAATCTATTACTTCTATATAGGAAATGGTTATCAAGAGATATACTTAGGTCGGAAATATTACTGTTAGTCCATGCTTCAGATATCATTGTAAGTGATGGTTGATATATGGATACAAAAAGGGCTAAATCGTCTTTTTATTGCAGATCGACCTAGCGTTGATGAGACATATATTAAACAAATGGCCTACTAGGTTAAAATGAGTGATGGTATCTCGAATAAAGTCTTTTTAACCCTCGCGGGTGTGAGATGAGTTAGAAGTGAGGGATTGAATGTTCTTCAATAGCTCGGTATTTTGATAGTTAGACTTAGTGGGAGATGCATCGAACGAGCTAGTGGAGTTGATTGGGGAGTTTACCCAGGAGGAAAGGGTGGGAGTACTCTCTGATGGAAACTGTACGGGGGAAACGCGTTTATGTTTTGCATGTGGTTTGAAATAACTTGAGCTATATGCTTCAACAGAGGTGTCACTAGGGGTCGTATTCCAAAAAAATATTGTACAGGCCTACTGTGAAGTGTATGGTTATTTGCAAAATAGTCTTGGTGGTTAGGCCCGTAGCCTCTGTTATATCTGTTTACATTAGCGTGAGAGGGGTTCGCTGCGCGTAACTGGAAGGAGTTGCGGCTGTTATTGTACGTGGGAACCGTTTCTATGTGGTGGGTTGGTACTAAAGGGTGTGAAATGTTTTCTTTCTGAGAGTTATTACAATTATGATCCTGGGGAATGTAGATAAGGTGTGGAGTGAGAAACCCAATATTACCATTCTTATTAATGGTTTTAAGCTCTAGGGGGTGCTTGGAGTGATCAGTACTCTGGTAGTCCTTGTTAGTCTGCGTGTAAAAAGGCCTATCAGGCTGTAGCCCACTACTCATTTTACAACTTAGAGGTGTTGAAGGCAAGTTATATGATATCAGCGGGGAGAACCTGTTCACTGTTTTTGGGATACCTATAGAGCAGTTGTGTTTAACCTTATGTGTCCCCCTACTCGGTAACGTGAGTTTTGTCTTCCCACCATTTTTTGTCAGAGCTGGAGTCTTTCATTGTCTCTGTGAGATGAATTTAGGTCCATTCTACTCAACCTGTGGAGTATCTTTAGGTGGACTAACTTTTAAGTATATAAGTTTAGTTGGATGCGTGTTGTCGCACGACTCACATCTTAGTATATTACTGAGCGAACAGTTGGGATCAGACATTTCATTGTGGTTTTTAGTGACAGTTGGGGTCCGAATCTTATCCAAAAGTTTCTAATCAGCAGACACATCTAGATCAGCAGAGTGGTCAGCCGTCTGTGGAAAGATGTCTTGCTTATTATTGCAAACTGTCTCTGGCAGGTTACTTACTGTAATACTACCATGCAATCCTATCACTTCACGTCTTTTTACACGACGTTGACAGGGCGTAAGGAGTGGAGTGACTTCTATATTTTTGTATGGAATTGGTGAGCTAATACTTTTGCTCGAATCAATAAACTGTTTAGCATCGTTACGACAGCCGAACATAAACAGGAGGGGGCAAGTAGATCTGTCTGACTTTGTAGTTACCGTTCAGCATACCGCATGCTCTAATCCAAATTTCCCTCAACGTAGATGGGTGTGTGCGGTCGGGGGGAGGGTTATACGCAACTTCATCACTCTTTTTGTCACTTCTTAAGCCACAAACCCCAGTTTTGATGAGTTTCTCAAGATTCCTATCAGTGTCAAGGCTCCATATATGTGTGAGGGGTGCTAGTTGCTCAAGTTTGCCGTTTATTTCGGGCAGAGGGCTTTGTAGTTGACGGATGTCAGTAATATATCTATCAGTATTTTCGTGTGTATGAGACACACTATTTGGCTCGTTAGTTTTTGAAATTTCAGATTTAGGCCTTGGTAGAACGCACTGTCTGGTAGACTGTCCCAATCAACCAATAAAGGGGAAATAAAGGGGAAAAAAGGGGAAATAAAGGGGACGAAAGCGTAAATAAAGGGGAAATGTAGCTTTTTCGCCTTTACGTCGGTTATTTAGTGGAAATGTCGCTTTTTCGCCTTTACAGCGTGTATTTAGGGGATATTTGTAGACAAAAATACGTTACGTATAGTTCTTGAATATGCCGCTTCCAGTTGTTATGTTTTCATAAACGTCAAAAAAATAACTACGAGATTATGAAAGAAACATCACTATTGTCATGAAAACAATTAACAAAATACGAACGCAGTGATTAGGCCGACACTCATATTCACTGACTTTAATCTTTGTTTAACTAAAGTGTTCGGACATGCTTGGTATCCAACACAAATAACTAACGTGATGCAAGTGAGTGACGTGCTCTCCGTTTTTCATGTTCATTACAATTTACTACCTTGTTAGTCCAATAACATTAGTTCCATTGAAGTCACCGATAGAGCTCGTAGACGAAGGGCAACTATTAACCTGTCAAGCGTTCTTGGTTGTCATAGATCGACTTATAACAGACGATGGAATAAAATACGAATAGCTTTCATGAAAAAACATAACTTGCTTTCATTTAGTGAGTCGGCTAGTGAAAGCACAATCACAGGTAAGTGACTTTCTATGTAGTGCACGTTTAATTGACAGCAGTGGAGAGAAAATTTACTAGTAATGAGACTGCAAATATGACACCATCCACTAGCTGAAGTTATCCAAGGGCTACAGATAATAATGGTATGTATATAAAGTTAATACGCGAATACATTTTTTGTAGGATCTACTGACGTTACTTTATGCTCTCAAAAGTCCCTTAATCGCAAAGACCAAATCAACAACGTGTTGATGTCATTAATTACGAACACCTGTCTCAGCATCAGTGATGCTGATAGAATTCTGAATGATTTAAGAGACCTGGTTCCGGACTTACCAAGGAGCATCAGAAGCATTCTACGGACGTGTACAAGTGTCAAGCCACAGTTCATTAGCAGTGGGGTTTACTATCACATCGGATTGAAAACCGATTTGCTAAGATATGTTGAACTTTGGTTGTGTAATTTTGATTTTGATACTTTACATTTTCATATTAATGTTGATGGACTATCTATGTCTAGAAGCTCAAATCAACAATTATGGCCGATATTAGGACAGATCATAGCCCCTAGGTGTAGTGTTGTGTTCATGATAGGGCCAGTAAGTCACCTGTACCATCGATTAACGTTTTGAAGATTTGATAGGTTGCACACAACCTTGAAGAACATGTAGTCAGCTATTGCTGATTTGAGTAAGACAATGCAAAACATGTCTTCAGCGATGACTGACTTGAGTAAAAATGTCAAGCTACTACTAGCCAAGTTTAGTGAACACGATCATCCGCATCAATTCGATTGCGGAGTATCAAGTCAGCAGTTTCCTTTGTCATCGGAAGAGGAACTGCAGATGCTGGACACTGGGTTGTAGCAGAAGGAAACGAGGGACAGATTTGTAAGTCAGCAGCATTAATTTACTGACATCTTCGTATAACAGATGGCGATGCCGACGAGGTTAATGGGTGATGACCCTAAAACGTCAATGCGTTACGTTTTGTCGTACATCATGACACCTGAGGTGGCCAGTAATTTCACATTGCTGGGCACTTCTTCAAAGCGCGCACTTCAGAAATGTCGGTTTTATGGCTGCATACGAAGTAACCTATACTTATAAATTAAACTTCAGGTGCATTGACAAATCGCTTCTTGTCATCCTCCCTTAATGAAAAAGACCTTGCGAAGCTTTACGACATCGCGACACAAGGTTATTTCCATGACGTCAGAGACAAGTTGATGAAGCGTATTCGACGGAAGCAAGAGCAGGTATGTACTAATTTAAAGTGATAATTTCCCTACTGCTTTATAGTTGCAGTCAACAGTCTTAACGAACATAACCGTAAGTTTAGCTTAAAGTACTTTTCTGTGTCTTCGGCCATGTTTTTCAGAATTCGTTTTGACTTTTCATTTTTTTACTATTCAGAATTCACAGGACGACTGTTTTCACTGTCAATAGCCGAACAAACGTTGCTGAAGAATGTAGTCGGTGTAACTTTGTTTGACGTTGTACCTAATTTTTAATAAACATTTTTTCGTTAGAGATCTTGAATTCTTACTCATTGTCAGTGAACTTTCGATTAAATGCACATGTGTTATAAATAATACATCACATGTTTCTTCTGTTGCAGATCTCAAAGCACGAGGAATTTGGAATTACAAATGAAATGCTAAACGACTGATGCTCAAGCTTCCGCTATTATGTTGTAAAACAAAACGCTTTTCCTTTGAAATAAAAATATATAAACATATATAGCGCTTTTCCCATCCATTGCACTTTCGCTGTGGTTTGTTGTAGAGGTAAAGGCGAATTTTGGAGAACTTTTGGACAATGCCAATGGCGATTTTAAGGTTGGATAAAAAACGCGCAATTTTGTGTGCATTTATATTTAGGCGTAAAGTAGACAATTAGGCGGATATTTAGGCGAAAAATAGACAATTCGGCTGATATTTAGGCGAAAAAGTAGACGAATCGTCAGCACGTGCTGAAGTTTCGATGCACGTGGGTATAGTGTCTCGTATGTCAACCAGTCTTACCTTTGGCATACTGCACGCAGAGATGGAGAGGCAGTAACATGGAGAATCAGGTGACGATAGTGACATTTGTGTACAATATGCATATTGGTCATTTGTTAAAGGTTCGACATTGTCAGGTACTGAGTCTTCAGCCATAGGGGTTACAGATTTGAACCTTTTATTGGGCTTAGAAGTTGGTGAAATTTGTCTTTTACTGGAGTTATTGACCATGACTTGAAACTAAGTACAGAGCTCGTTAAATCAAATATAATATCAGAGTAATAATAGTTGTTAAGTATTAACCTGGTTAATACAAGATCGGAGACTATGAGTATATAATAAAGTTTAGATCTATTTTAGACTTAAGTCCGAAATAGGAATAATATGAGCTGGTAAGTATCCGTCAAAATTTTTTTAATTTTTCAGGTAAAATTTACCCGATATACAAGATAGGATGATAGTCTCCGTATAATACACCCTACAAATGAACAAGTCGAAGAATTTCACGACCACGTGAAAAACTGTTACTACTTTCAAATTTCGCGCCAGTCTTATAGTTGAGAGTAGAGTCATATCCTAGCAGTCAGTGTGTTAATCGACCTTGGACATCTACTCTTATCATGTCAGTGGTATTCATGTTTGTGAATATAAAAGAGCAATATTCAAGGGAGGGTCGTATACGTATCTTGTAAAGAGTGTGTTGAGAAATAATAAAAATAATCAACATTGTAGAACTGTTAATATTGGTATTAATTTTGTTTTAAATTATGAAACCAAATAACGTTTATGTGAGGAAGTTGTCCGTATGAGTTGATTTCCAGTTGCATCTGTATTAGTAGGCTAACTGAAGGAACAAAAGTGTAACCGCGGAAAAGAATTCCAAGTAGTGTTCCAGTTAGTTTGATACGGTTTTTAGTTACGGGGAGATTTTCTCGACCTCATTTTTACTTGACCGTAAAAGAATTTAGAAATACTACCAATACATATGAATGGCGATCAGAAAAAGATTTTTAACACGTGAAAATTGATAATTATGTGGATTTGGGACAGATAGTTAAGAGTGATTCATTAAACATGAGTGTATTCTTAAGAGATATTCTATAGACTCAATGATCTGATTTGCCATAGACTATTTATATTTATACCTATCGGCAAGTGTCAGTTTAGTATAAGACGGGATACTATTTCATTGAGATATAGTGATTATAATTTTTGGAATCAGTTAAGCCTATGTGCCACATTTCTAGGTGATGTGGTGCTGCAAAACGTGTTTGGATAAATAAGTTTTTACAAGATGATTAACAGTGAGCTATGCTCATGTGATTATCAGAGAGAACATGAGTTGTAACCAAGAAGAGTACACTCCCAACTCATGTCTATGATAATGGCTTGAACCTTAGTCAGTGTTGGGGTAAATTCGACATTGATGTTTTCAGTTTGCAGGAGATTTTCTCGACTGCTTATGCTGGTTATTTGCATGCATGATTGTGTCGCTAAACCTCCAATTAGACTGACAAGGTTTTGAGATATTTATTGAATGAGCAACTGATAGAGAAACATACTGAAAATCATCTGCAATGGATGAAGATACCGAGAAATCAACACTATTTAATGGTAATTATAAGTCAATTTGCTGAACGATTTTGTTAATAGTTTCATTGATTTTATCAGTCCTATTACGTCATTGTTAAGTCATGACAATGCTTTAGACGATATCCTGAAACCATTATGTTTAACTAATTATAGTGTTGATTAAGGATTACTCAGCGGAAAAATAGGTATTGTTGCTTTAGGTGAGTCGAAATTATCAGAACTTTGTAGCGTTAAGGAAACCGAGCTGCCTAATTATATTATAAATTTCAATTCAAATATATACATCTAGTCTTAATTTTAGTAATATGTTCCGGAGTTTTAATTTTAAATGTTTGTTTAGCCAACAACTACCTGATAGTTTAGTTATTATCCTAAAGCAGTATGCTGGTACCCAAATTTTTTAACTTTATTATCTAATCTATGTTTGTCTTTTTATGTTACTAATATGGTAGACCTATTGACAAACCCAAATACGTATAGCAACAATGACTATGATGGGTTTAGTGAAAAATGTTAAAGGCTATTCAAGTGACTTTTGAATTTAAAAGACATGGAGATATGATGCAACGCATGTACGGGTCAGGTTAACATGCAGGTTATTGATGTATACGACAATTTAAAAACAGTAAACATGGCCAGAAAAATAATTTTAAAGTTAAGACTGCTTATGAAGCTCCAGGAAGGATTATGACGCGTTATAAACTTTTCATAGGAAGTTCCTGCATTTAGCCTAGTGGCACTTACAAATATGTGGCAAAAGCAACTAGAAAGTATATATGTTAAGTACAAAAAATCATCCAGTAAAATAGTTAAACTCGCCTGGTTTATTTTTGCTTCCAAGTAATGATGATTTGAATTAGATAGTAATTCGAATCTGGATAATACACGAGGTACTGTCGATCAAATTCTTGAATTAATCCAGCATTGAAGACTGCATTTGTATAAGTCCGAAATTAATTGAAGCAAAATATGTAGCATTGCCTGACGAACAGTCGTAAATTTCTAGCAGTTGCATTCTGTTTGGTCATGGAACTCAGCAGTTGGAAATTAAGCAGGCAGTGGTAGAAAGAAAAAAATCTGACAGGATAGTGCATAGTTTAAGGTAGAATGAGGAGTTCAGTGAAGGAACAATATGAAGAATTAGGTCCAGATAACTGTTTAGTCCTTGCTAAAGTTGCTAGGCAATGTATATTTACGTTATTTACAGGTCATATTTGCTAGAGCTTGATGTTTAAACAAGTTTATTTCGCTGTAGCATGTAAATGCTATTAAAGCTTGCTAATGAAACATCAAAGCTAATAATTAATATAGATGACCAGTTTTTATTATCGATTGAGCTAGTAAGTTATTAGTAATAATCAATATAACGTTACGATAATGCATATGAGTGTTACTCAGAGGACTATTAGAATAATGGGTTTACATAAGTAAATATCGATCGAGAAAGTTAAAATGGAAATATGGACTAAGAATAATAGGTTGCGTTTCTTTAGTCGGGGTCACCAATGTAGAATCGT